AGGGGCTGAACGCGGGGGCTAGGGGAGGGGGACTGACCTGGCAGCCTGGTGATGAGCTCTCTCTCTTCCAGAGTCGGAGTCTGAAGCTGAAGAGGGTGACTGACCTGTGAAACTCTGTCCTCAGTAAAGCAAACAGGAGCTGTAGATAAGTGTCATGTCTCATGTGTCCTTCTGATTCTTATATCCTACCTCCCTGTATCAAGCATGATATAAGGGCTCTCATGGCAATTTATTTTAACTGTTTTCTATAGTTATTGAAATACTGGGTTTAGTTTTTAAAACCATGTTTTAAGTAGCTTACAGGAGCTATTATAGATTTGACTCTAACCTGCATTTGTCCTTTCAGTTATATTCTACCTCCTGTATTTTCTACTGTAATAATGTAATTTAAGGCCTTCCACAATTAAATCCATTTTACCCCTTGGGTTTTCTATCTATATTTGAGTAGACATGATAACGGTGAATGAGATTTATGGCAGTTCTGTTTGCAAATTAAACTGTAAAAAGCCTCCGAAGTGAAGAGGCCGTGGCTTGTGTGGTAACTTGGTGTGACACTTCAATTTGTACCGCTTGCTCCAGATAACCCCGTTTGTAGGTGGCTGTCCATTTCCCCAGGGACTTTGTCATCTCTTTACTTATACTTCCAGCATAAAGCAATCCACTGTTCCAACTGCTGGGTGAGGCGCCTGACCCACTCCTGGGAGCTCAGTTCCTGCTGGAGCGAGGCTAGTTTGGTGACCAGTAACCATGGCGGGTATGGAGAGTGGCATTGCTGAGCCTGCTGGGCTGCCTGGCAGCTAGGCATCAGTTCCAGGGGCATCTTCCCACCACTTCTCTCGTGGAAGAGTGAATGTTCCACATCCAGCTGCCTGACAGGTTTCTGGAGCCCTGGCCTATGCTGCTAGCAGGGCGGCAGCTTGCTGGTGCTGCTCTGTAAGGCATGGCTGCTGGAAGGCGAGCTGAAGTTAGAAATTATTTTATGCTGGCAGTTGACACGCTAAACCAAACAGCGTATCTGTTCACCCAAACTTTGAATTCTTAATGGAAATTCTCAGGACAGCTCCTAATTCAAGACAGATTCATAAGAGAGTGAAGTCTATACTGTTGTAAGCCAATAATGAGCATTAACTGAAATACTGGTAACCAGAATACACCTACTAAAATTAAGAGTGATCATACTGCAATCTGTTCAGTACTAGTGATCTTCCTCACTTTGTATCTTTTTTTTTTAAAAACAAATAAAGGCCACCCCTACACTTAATGTCAAGGGCTGTCTCTGTTCTCTTAATCAGAAAGGAAGCGTCAGTCACGCTAAAGGGTAAAAATCAGTCCTAGGTCTCTTGCTATTCCAATGACAGTTGAATAAAACATAATTAAAATACTATTTCCTCCTATTTTCCTATTCTATAGAGGAGAGGGTGTTCTCTTCCATGTGTTAAAAGTGCAACTGTCCTGAGATGGTTATTTACTGAGGAAACGCAAACACATTTTTCTTAAATAAGTTTTATGCCAGCAGCTGGATTAAACTTCAGTATCCAAAAAGTCATAATACAAAATAGGACATTTACAAAATAACTGTACACAATAAATATTTAACATAGTTTATGTTTCTTTGGTGGACTGACGTCTTCGTCAGCCTGCTCAGCTATAGGGAACAGTGCCCTTTTTTCCTTTTTCAATGGGAAGAAGAAAGGATGTTTCAGTGCTTCTTCAAGAGTAATGCGCTTGTCTGGGTCATACTCCAACATCTTTTGAATGAGGTCAAAAAGGTTCTCGTGGTCAGAATCGTGGCAGGTCATGAATTCCTTCATGAAGAAAACAAAACATGTTTTTGTAATCTTGTAATTGCACTTAAAGCTCCTCTCCCCAAAAGCATTTTTCCCTCTGTCACCTTACCTTCAGTGGCTTACAGCGCCTTGACACGTATCTACCAGCAGAACTGTGTTCATCCCAATCCAGCTGGTCGTGCCAGAAGTATTTGCGTTTCCTTAAACAAACAGACCACAGTTTTGTTATTCAAAGATTCTGTTTTGTCCCTTCACTAGAAATTTATCAGCATGTTTGTTCACAGCTTGGGCACAGTCCACAAGAGTGGCCAGCTTGTTAAATAGAGTAAAAGGATGACTCTGAGTTTATTAACTTTTTTTAAAATTTTGCTATTAAACCAAATCTGAAAATATTTAAATTAAACGGTAGCAGTCCAGGTACAGAAAAATGTAATTACCGGGTTTTCTTTATCATGTGATCTGGCAAAGGCCCCAGTATTCGCTCCATCATTGCCAGGTGTTCTTTGCTGTCATGAGTCTGGAGGGAAATCAAGATAGTTCGTTGTTAGAGGAAGTTACCAAGAATCACACACTATCCTTACTTCATTTGTGACTGTACCCTGCAACCAATAATCCATTTCAGATTAAGGAAAAAAAGAGAGACTGTAGTCATCTGTTTCCTAAAATAAATTACAATCTACCGGAGGTTTTTTCCCCTGATGTACCTTTTTTTTCCTTCTGTTCTTAAACTTCCAAGTTTCAGCAATACTGTCAAGATGACAGAACTCAGCAGTATTTGCTGATGGTGATAGATGAAGCTACATCTGTTGTTGATGTGGCTTGTAAAATTACAAAGGATCACCCTGTTAGCATTTGTATCCTGCTGCCAGAATGTTTACCAAAAGCAACTTGTAGAAATCTTCTGCTGAGAAAGTTCCTTTGTGCCTACATCTGTTCTCTTCAACTTGGCATTACAGAGAAATGCAGCCTAATTTCTTGCACAGACCATTCCCCTTAGTCCCCACCTCCCTGTAGCATATTTTCACCAGGATGGGGAGCATTATACATGCTGCATCGTTTGGAGGTTCATGGTTACCTACCGGAAATACTGTGAATCCAAGGTAGTATTCAATGAGAATACATCCTATGCTCCAAACATCACATGGTTGTGACCATCCCAGTGCTGTGAAAAGATTCAGAAGGTTCACGGTTGTACCAGACTACAACCAAGTTCAACAGCTCAAGCAAGCTACGGAACACTGCTGTAGCACCGTTCAATAGCATACAAAAAAATCTTACGTGAAAGATCAGCCTAACAGACTTCTACTGACCTAGGATAACTTCAGGAGCTCTGTAATGTCTTGTAGACACCAAAGTGCTATGATACTCATCATCATATGTTGCACTCCCAAAGTCCACAATTTTGATGTCTGGATTTTTTAGTGTGCGTTCATCACATTGCTGAAATGAAACACAATGGGATGCAAGTGACCAAATAAACCCAGACAATGGCTGAGGGGGAGGTGGGGAGAAGGACAGCAACTTACCAGTTTGGGGTTATACTCTTCTACATAGTCAGACGTCACAAATAAAATATTTTCCGGTTTCAGATCTGTATGTGTCAACTTGTTCAAATGCAAAACTGCAAGGTAATACATACAGTTAGCAAATTCCGCAAAGACAACTGAACAAATAAAGCAAAAAAACCCCCCATGCTTACAGTTCACAGATTTGCAGATCTGATACGCCATCTGTCTAATCTGGTCCAGCCTAAATGGCAGAAAGCCATTCTCTTTAATAAAGTCATAGGTGCTGAGCCCCAGTAGCTCAAAAACAATGCAGACATGTCCATGGTACTCAAACCACTCTAACATCTGAACACAGCGACTGCAAAAAAACAGGGAAATACATGAATTGCAACAGGAAGTTGTATAACGCTCAGATACCTATGTCGTATGTTACAGAAAGCGACGTCACAGAAATCGTGCCAGACCAAATTACAGTTGGCTTTGTATACTTACTATGTATTGCTGGGATCCGATGCATTTAAATGTTCCAGTACTTGTATTTCTGCACGAGCTGCTTCCGAGTACCTATCAACATTTTTTACTATTTTCACAGCTACGTGTCTGTCTTCCCTGAAAACGCAGGTTTTAACAGGGATTAGAACAGCGAGTAGTTTAACTAAGAATATTCAGTAATTATCACCATATACATTGTTTGTAACAATGGGAACCTTATCAGAAAAGGTCTTAGGTACATACTGACTTAATATAACCAAGGTTCATCTATGCACAAACACAACTAAAATTTAATCTTTAAATTTTGAAAACATACTCAGTACCTTACATATCAGTATTATTCTTAAAGGTTAAAAGCCCCATTTACCTCCCCTTTGTATTTTATGTATGCTGGGCTACTATAGGAGAACCTTCCACATCCTAACACGACTGTCAGTCAAAAATGACAAGCCACCTTTGGTCGTTTTAGCAGTAAAAATGTAATTGAGGTGGCAAATGCCTTCCACGGTGACTAGAAAGACAATCTAGTTTCATACTATTTTGCACACAGCAAAACTGCAATCAAACACAAAATGCATTCTTGATTTGTAATATACTCAATGCTAGAACCCAAATGGCATTGCATCATCACAGATACTTTAACGTAAGCTGCATGATGTCATAGACCTTGCTCCTTGTACAGAGCTGGGCTGGTACAGGCACAGGCCCCAGGATTGCCCAATGTGGGGGGGTGCAGCTTCACCCCACGTTCTCTAGGCCACCTGCCCCCATCAACCCTTGGCCTCTACCAGGCTGGGGTGCGCCTGCGGAAGACGTATCCATCGCCGCATCCATTGCTGCACCCACCAGTCCTGCACAACCCTGGTGTCTAGGAGCTGGTTTTAGCATGCTGTACTAACGTAAATTTATGTTTTCGAACTGCGGCAGCCTTAAAGAAATACACAGAGCAGCATACGAGGAAGTAAAGATAAAACCTGATACAATCAGAAAGCACTTCATGAACCACACTGTGACAGCATCAGTTAAGAAAAATTACATCTTTTTTAATTAAGACTTACGCTTTGCGATCGATGCATTCCACTACTTTTCCAAAAGCACCTTCACCCAAAGCAGCAACAATCTCATCTATAAAGAAAAGAACTCTCAGTGACAGAAGTTGTGAAGTTACTCAGCTATTTAAAAAACGAGCAAACAAACAAAAATAAAACAAACAAAAAGACTAAGTACTATCACTGAAGATTATTCTAGGCTGTGCTGCTTTAAATTGTAAATATCTAGTTCGAGAGATGTTACTGGACAACTCTCATCAAGGCACATTTACAGGGATCTCACTCTAGGAGGTTCATTAACTTCATTTACTATTTTTTTGGGGGGAAAAAAGGGAAAAAGAAAAAAAGAAATAATATTTAAGTTCTACAGAAAAAGAATAACAATCCCCACCCCCAAACAAAAAAAGACAGAAAGAAAAGCCTTTCAAAGCCCCCTCACATCTTATGCTAAAAGAACTTATTCTATCTGAAAAGTTAATAAATTTTGAAAAATATTCTATACATCTTGCACTTAGTACGTCTCCACTCTGACAGATCAGGTGACCCTCCTCATCATCCTCTACACTCCTGGATCTTTTCCTTCGATGACTCTTCTGGAACGGCACCAAGATCGTCCAGCCAATCAATAAACCCGAGTGAATTCAGGTCAGAATACGAAATTCATTCAGCAGGGAGATATTCAGGCATTCAGATACACGCCAGGCCACAAACGGTTGGCAGGAGCAATTTCAAATTCAGTCCCCGGAAATTCACAGGGCACATAGTTTATGTTACAGGAGAAAAACATGGCAAGGAACAGATTTTCAGATGAGATACTCAAAGTGGCAAGGCAACAAAAAATTACAACACAACTGTTTTTCTTTTAAAAGACTGGTTCACTGAATTTTACGTTAGGATTTCAGTGCCTGTATTTTCTTTTTTTAAAGCAAAAGGATTTAATAATCATCTTATATCTATATATAAAAAAGTAACCTTGTGGCCAAATTAAAATACCCATCTTAAGTAATCAAGATTAAATCACTGGTCTGAATATTTGGTAAGTTTTTTTTTTTAAATCACAAATAGCATATACGTTTACTTTAGGCTGTCTCAGCCGAAGATCTTAAATTATAAATCTTATCTTCAGCTTTTTTAAGAGTTAAATATGTAAGAAATATCAGAAAAACTGCCCTGTTAGTGGGCAAACATCATACATACCTGATTCTACAGATTTTTCAGCGATACTTAAAACATCTTACAAATAAATTTTTAAAAAAGTAAAACCTGACATTATTTCCTTGCTAGTTCAGTGATACTTAGTCAAAAGCAAGTTTAAAAGCTTGTGCTTGAATTTTCGAGTAGGGCTGAAATAAATGCTTGTCATAATAAAAATTCTGAAGGCATGAAAATGATGCCTGTATTTCAAGTACTCCAATTGATGGGTTATTATTCATTAATCTGCTCAAATACACCCAATGAATAAATAGCAAGACTATGTTCTGTGGTATCATAAGCATAGCTACAAACTATACATTTTCACTGAAGGAAATAAAATCCTAGCAAAAAGAATAATGTACTAATATTAGCTAAAGGAATAAACTATTATCGACAGAATTCCCCGAACCCCCACACTGACTACTGCCCAAATGAGAATCTATCTTCTTAAAATAAAAAAATCCTAAATTAAAATTGGTCAGACCACCTGTGAATGATGATGATGACAGGTAGCTTCACGTGTCTTGTATTTCCTTTTGTAACTACTCGTCCCACTGTGACCTGATGATTTGCTACTGTGATGCCCAGTATCACATCCTTGATTGTATTCATTTCTGTATTCTTCAACATAGCGTCGTTCATGATGGTCTCTTTCATTTATAGATTTGCTTTCTGAACAGGTACTACAAACAAAGGAACAAATAAACTTCATTAAAATAACTGTAGTACCCCTATCAAGACCGCTTTTTGCGTTAAGCTGTAAGACATCTCTCTCGAAATATCTCCAACTCAAAAATGAATACATTATCAGATGACCTGATGAGAACAATAAAATCTTAAAACATATGCTTGCTGATATCAGAAGTCAGAAAGTTATTTACCTGTCAGGAAGTTTAGAAAGATCATGTTTGCACTGCTTGTGCCCCTGTGCAGTACTTAAAGATCTCTTCCTCTTATTAGCACTGTCGCATCTTCTAGAACCCAGACTTTCTTTTTTATCCGAGTCAGGATAATTAGTTTGCCTGGAATGCCGCATCTGTAACAAAGATATTTTGCTCTTTGAATTACATCCCATAGACAAACAATTTTCAAAGCCATTAATGATCAAATTAACACTATAACGAAATTGTGTTTTTCCTCAACTACCTGATACTCATTTTTTCTCTGCTCTCTATTCCACGTTATTTTTCAATTCAAGAGCTTTTTCAAATTAACCATTTTTGATAGGGGAACAAAAACCAATAGCCTACTTCTTACAGAAGATTTTCAAAAGAAGTATCGTGGCTCAGGTGCTAAACCCATGCTGTGCATGTTATTTCTGCAACGCCGCTCAGGCACCAATGGTGCATATACTAGGAAAAAACGAAGCCTTCTGTGTACTTAAAAAGGGCATACAAATACTGCCCAGCGTGCTTTTAAAGACTTCAAGGAACTTGTCATCAACTTTCACCATGCCACTTCCTACAAATTCGCGGAGAACTCCTAATGCTAAGTCAAAATGACAATAAAACTTGGGTTATCTCCTAGTTATTTAGCTCGAAGAGGAACAGGTAACTGACTACACATGCCTTGTACTTCCAATTTCCAACCGTAAATCGATTCTAGCTCACAAGCTGCGCCTCGGGCCGACACGTCCCGGCTCCGCAGCAGCGGTGACGCCACAAAGCGGGAGGCGAGGCACCGCGGC